GTCTATACAACTCTGATACCTATTATGGCTTTTTAATCTACCAGGTGGTTTGCTTTTTATTGTTATAAGGCAGCACCTCTTTCTTAAAAATGAATGAGGGGAAAGTAGATGATACATACAGTGACATTTAGTGTCTGTTCAAGAAATCTATTTTTATACAGTAAAAAAGATCATTTTTATAGAATACAGAGTATAATAAAAATAAAGCCTTGTATAAAAATATGGTCATCTTTCTTTTATTGTAACTAGTTGGTGAACTGTACATTTCCATTCTCCAAGAAGAGAGAGAAAAATCTGATGCACAAGCCATTTAATACCATTAATGGTATTCTCAACAAAGATGTTTAAACCTTAGATATTAACTCTTATAAACTGAGAATAACTGCAAGCCTTTTATCTCCTGCTTTATATGCAATTCAATCCAGGAGCAAGATGAAGCGGATAAGAAAATACTCTTAAATGTATACAATAAAGTTATACAGAAAATCCATCAAGAGCAATATCTAATTACTATAGTGCAGAGCAAGTACCTGGCCAGTGTGGAGGTCAGTTTATCCTTAGTTTGTCTGTCTATCACACTGTTTAGTGTTAATTTTTTCTGAACTCTGTTTTTAAGAGTTCGATTTCCTTTTTTTTCTTTTTTCATTGAAGTTTGTATGTGCACACTGGTTAGAAAGGTAATTTTATTTTAAAAGAGAAATACAGGTTTTTATTGCTTAACTAAAGCTTTAAAATGCATTTTGTAAAATAATGTAAGATTGGAGCCTTTGAACTCTTAAAAATCATGAAACATAACTTTTAAGACTATTGGTAGATGACTTTTTCATGAAAGATATTCATGTAATGTAACTTGGTTCATTGCACACTTGCAACGTTAATTGGTGACGTTATTGGCCACATCAGCCAAAAGATGCAGATTGCTGATAATGTCAATTTTGCTTTTATCGGTGCTGATATGGACCGATATATTGGTACACCTCTTTGGATAATGCCAACTCTTAGCTTTTCACTTTATTTTTCCACAGTCAAAAAATATAGGGCTTTTTTGTTGTTGTTGTTGCAAGGAACTCAGACCAGGACAGCTTATAATGTTTTTGGCACTGTGGATTCCTATTTGAAATTTCCTGAGTTTATCTTCTGAACCATGTGTAGGT